TCAGGAGAAAGACGGGGCTTCCTACTCCCAAAAAAAGTTCCTACAGTCTTGGGAACTCACCGGGTGGTTCCACCCTGTCCTGTCCTATAGGGTCGCTGTGAGTTAGCAGCAACTTGATGGCAGTGAGTTTTGGATGCGAACTAGGACGCTAACAGACCAACAAGGATGCCATAATCCTCGGGCCTATGAGTAGAAAGGACCCAGCGGCAGGAAGTTTTTCCGTTTGGGTTTTTTGAGAGTTGTTTCTTCTATCCATCCTGTAGTCATTCCACCAAACCTCCCGAGGCCCCAGAACAATCTGGGCCTTCACTTGAGTTGGACGGACATCCTGCCCCCAGTACCATTTATGCCCCTGGCAGGCAGTTTCGTCTGCATTGGCCTGATACTCGACATTCTTTTTGTTGACACTGTAGTTGGTCAGGTGCATGAACTTGTTGCTGAGGCTCTTCATGGAAGGGGAATACCTGGAAAAGAAGAAAGAGAAAATACGACGTGAGATGGTGCGACGGCAGACAGAAAATGCGCCAAACATCTTTCGCCAAACATGTTCCGGAGTCCTGAGGAGGGGAACGGCAGGTGGATCTATTTTTTCAGCCGTCCAGGGGTGAGGTTCACAGCGAAACTCACCTTCCTTTATTCTATCTCAGACCTTGAAGGAAGGTCCCAGATGCGCTGAAATAGAGAACCCACTTATTTTCTGTCCCCTTTGCTAACAAAACCTTTCACACCACATGCTATTGTTCGGCTTGGTGTCCTACCAGCGTCCCTCTCCCTGAGCACATACGTCTTCCAAGTGGGAAGGGGGACACGTACTTGCAGCTGGCAAAGCGGACGAGTCCATCTGAAAAGAGGTAAATCCGTAGAGGATCATAGGAAGTGACGTAAACATAGATCCGTAGATCGAACTTGCTGCCGCTGATGAGGTAGGGTTTGTGCAGATACCTACACAGGGGTAAGGGTATTATTATCAGAGCCATGACAGAGGAGATGAGATATGATGGGGTGAGTCAAAGGACCCAAGGCTTTATGGAGCATACGCCAGCTAACACTCTGAGATAAGGACCTGAAAACGATTGCCTAAGGAAGGACTTCAGCTGGGAGGACAAGGAGCAAACGACTAACAATGCAATCTCCGGGCCAAAGGGGATCGAAGCACTGGGAGAACACTAGCTGCAGACAAGCTCACCTCTGTACCAGGAGGGGCCTCCGCTTGGGGAGCTGGCTCCACTTGTGGATGACTTGGATGCCGATGCCTCGAGCTGATGCTGGCTGGAAGTGGGAGAGCAATGAGACTTGCTCTGGTTCCCAGCCACGGGTCGTGGTCTCCCCCCAGTCATCAACTCACTGGCTTCACGATCCACTTTTGGCGGCTGCTGTTCTCCCAGGCTTTGCGCAGGAGCTTGGCATCTTGGGGCAGGATGAAGGACTGGGGGAAGAAGCTGAACTCCTTCTTGCCGAAGCGGCTCTGCATTCGCGACAGGTTCCGCCACAGCCGGTCCTTCCGCCCAATCTGGAAGGAGCCTGGGAAGTGGTTTAGCTGCAGGAAGGGCAGGGGGAGAAAGCAGGGAGAGTGGTGGAGGTGAGCCCGCTACTCGACTCTACAGGACTCATTATACTGTGCCAACTTCCCGAGCCAGGCTACTAGCTCCTGCTCCGAGTTATGCAAACTGCCTGCTCTTACGAAGTATTCAGCCGCTGAGCACTGACCAAAGCATGCTCAAGACACAACAACGGTTAGTGCCTACTGCGTGGCCAACAGGAGCAATGCAGACAGACATGATATTCACCGTAGGTGCAATGAAAGGACAGCTCATAGGACAAGGGCAGAAAGCACTTGACTTTCAGCAGGCAATCTGAGGACAAAGGTTTCGGGTGTCTCAACACGAGAGTGGAAGTCCTTCTGACAGTCTTCAGCCCAGGGGAATGCAGGGAGCACGCAGTGACTCTCGGGAATACAATCGGAGGATGCCACCCACCACCCAGGAGAGGCCAGGAGTGAACTGGAAGTGTGTGGTCTGCGGAGCTCTCACACTGCGCCCTCAAGGTCTTCTCAACTTGTCTGTGGACACTCCCCAGTTCCCTGTGGTCACTCTCCTCCAACACCCCCCACCCCCAGCCCAGCGCAGGAATTGGCCCCTACCTTCTGATGCTCCCGGATGGTCCGGAAACTAGCAGACTTCATGTGGTGACCCCAGCAGCCCAGCCAGTCGTCGTTCCCTACAGAAGGAACATCAGGAAGTCAGCCAGGCCGCTGGACAGAGCAAGGCCCAAGGGCCCCAGCAACTCTGCTGAGCCTGGGCAAAGCTCCCAGATGGGCTTTCTGAGGGCTGCCAGGGAGCCCTGCCAGGCCGAGAGTGGGAAAGAAAACAATGGCGATCTCTCTCCCAGGCCCGGGGAGCTCAGTCACTGTCTCCACAAAGCCCAAAACTCCAGGCCAGGCACCCCAGCTGCCCCCACGTGGCAGGAAGTATTCCTGTGGGGCTCTTGGGGCCAAGGCCACGCTCGCCACCGGTGGTGACTCACTCTTGCTGATTTTGAAGTGGGATCGCCCGATGGTCTGCTTGACAATGTTGGGGGTCACTGTGCTCATCTTCCACCGGAGCAGCTTTCTTTGCTCCACAGGAAGTTTCTCCACTGGGAAGAAGGGATGGGGTGGAGGTGAATAGGAGAGTCAAGGTAAGAAGAAACAGGTGGTGGGGTCACCCACCCTTTCCCTGGGCAGCAAAACCACCAAGTATTGATCTGACTGGAGGTTGCAAAGCAGCTCAATGTGGGGAAGGCAGGGGATTGCACAGGAGGGAGACGGAAGAAAGGAGGGGCGGTTGGAAGGGGAAAGAAACAAGGTTCGAGGGCAGGAGCTAACACGAGGCTCCAAGGCTGAGTGCAGTAAGCTAAGGACAGAGAAGAAACCGTCGCCATCCCCGTCCCCCCAGCCCCAGCTTGGAGCCCTAGACCCAGTGGGAAGTCAAAGAGGAAGCATGAAGACCATCCATGGAAATCCCCCACACCCCACTGCCGCCTTCTCCCTGGGGACACGACTGGGCTCAGACACTGGGCCAGGCTCACCTCGCTCGTCTCGAGTGCCAAAATAGATGGTCGGGGGCACATTGGGAAAGAGGCTGTAGATAAGGGCTGGCCGCACAACTTTCTCATGACTGGAAAGGGTTTTGGTCAGAATCTCCACACAGTTCCTGAAAGGGAAAGCAGGCAGCTGGTTGAGAGGGGAGCAGCCACCCCAGAGCATGGCTGCTAACACAGTGTGCTCCTCAAAGGAGGTTCAAGGAGTTACCGAGCTGATCGGCAGGCAGCCCCATGATTATAGGTCATGACCACAGACACAGTTTTCCAGCACTTCACTCACTTGCTCGCTCACTGGCATCCAGTCAAAGCTGGGTTTCTGAGACTGTACATGTGGACAGGAGGAGAAAGCCCAGTCTTTCTCCCTCAGAGCTGCTAGTGGTTTCGAAATGCCGATCATGTGGATTGCAGCCCAATGCGTAACCTCTACACCTCTATCCCAGGCCTCCTCTGGGATCCACACAGCTCTACAATTTCCCGTGATAAGCTACAGCTAAGGATGTGCCTAGCAGGAGTGGTTCTGAGCATGATCGGTGACTGCGGACACACACCAGTGGTGAAGGACACTACCGGAAGGCAGAGAGAAACACATGAGGGGAGGAGACGAATGAGACGGGGAAGAGAAAAGCAGCGAGAAGCGTGAGTTCCAGAGGTTCCTATAGAAAGGGGAAGCCTCCAATGCGCTGTACACTGAGGCTTATCTCCAGAGCTAAGGCTGGTGAGTGCTGGTTTCCGTTTGGAAGATGCAGATTTTGCTCTAATGGGCGGTTTCTTGGGTACAGAGTGATGAACAGACGTGGCTGAGAATCTGGGGCAGCAGGCCTTGGGGACACTGACACGGTCCCAGCAAGGGCCCCGCCAAGGACGGCTCAAGAGGAATCAGAGCAGTGGGAACACCTCAGCTCCCTGTCAGAGCCAGATCACCTTGAGCTGAGCTGATCCGCCAGCATGATTACAGCACTAATTTTCAGCAATTAAAAAGTTGATTCTTCTCAGCACAACAGAAATAGGCCCAGCATGTTAATGAAGTGCTTTAAATCACAGTTTGTAAAACAATTTTATTGGATTGAGTTAAATTACTAAAGTCCAATGAAATAAGCCCAACGAATTACTCATTTCCCAATCGTTCACTTCAAAGACGTTTAATTTACTACGTGGCAGACTTTATGATCACTGGAAATCAAGGAGCATGAATTAAGAATTTAAACTAAAGATGGGATGGGGAAGTGAGTTAGTTAATTGTGCCAACCTGGACGATAATCACATGTGGGGCTAATTGAAAGGCAGAGGGATAAATGGGCGGTGAGCCTCGCCTTTCTAGTTCTCAGGTCTCTTGCTTTGTGATGGTTCACCAGGGTGTAGCTGCCTTAGCAGTTCCCTGCTTCAGCTTGCAAGATTGACTTCCTACAAGACATCCCCAAGGAGAAGCTACATGGACCTATCCCGATGCAGCCCTGAGTGCTGGAGCAGCCGTGTGGAGACCCCTGCTAGTGCTGAGATGCTTATTCGTTCACTGACTCAGCTTTCCTCCTGCAGTCGGCATCATTGCCTCTGTTTTGTGAGGTGGAGGACTTTGTGGACTGGTGTTGGGTTAATGGGTTAATGTTGGACTTGTGGGCTTGGGCAGCATTGGGTTGGGATGTTTTTGTGCTGCACATTTTCTTTACATAAAACTCTCTTATACATGAGTTGCTGTGGATTTGTTTCTCCAAAGTACCCAGACTAATACAGGAAGTCACTTGGCAGTTTCTTTAAAAACTAGAGACGCAGCTATTCTAAGAATCCCGGCCCGTACTCCTGGGCCTTTCTCCCAGAAAAATGAAGACTGTCCTGGTCACAAATGCTTCCATCAGCTGTCTGTGTCATCACCCCAAATGGGAGCCAAATGTCCTTCAACAGGTGAATGATTAAATGGGAACAAGCGATGCAAGCAGGCAGCAGCACGTATAAATTCTCTGGGGAATGATGCTGGGCAAACACGGACCCGCCCCGCTGCCATCAATTCCATTCCCGACTCATAGAGTTTCAGAGGCTGTAAGGCCTCACAGGAGCCCACCATGCCAGCCTCAGCTGTCTCCCAACACCCAGCACCCAGCACCCCAACACCTACCCCACAGCACTAACGTGGCTCCGTGGGTAAATAAAAACCTCATCCCAAACGCTACACACTGCTGGGATTCCACTCACACAACTTTCTTTTCTTGCCCTTTTCACACAACCTCCTTGAAATGGCAATATGATAGAAATGGAGGGCACGCTGTCAAGGGTTGAGGAGAGGTTGAGGGGGGAGGGAAGTAGGTGCGGCTGTCAGGCACCAGGAGGGATTCCTGCCGTGGTGGGAATGGCGTGCACCTTGAGTGAGCCCCCGGTGAACTGTGCTGTACTAGAGTTGGCAAGTTGTTATCATCGGGGAACAAGGTAAAGGGGGCAGGGATCTCAGCATCAGTTCTTACAAGGGCAAATGAATTTCCCAGCATCTCAAAATCAAAAGTTTAATTAAGATGGGAAATCCTTACTGGTTGCCTCTTTTAAAAGTAAGTATTGGGTTTATTTTCACCCAAACTGCAATAAAATATTTGAAAAAGAAAATATATTGGATTGATTCCTCAAGAAACCTGGGCTCTAGCCTAAAACTAGGATGTTGGAATAATTACATAACTTCTCTGGGTCTCAATTTCTACATCTAAGAAAGGATGTTGGACTTAATGACCTTGATCTCGAAAATGACATCATTTTTATGGGGAAAAAATATATGTAATTATGAAAATGTAACAAACTATTAATAGATAATATTTACTACTGGATGGAAGAACAGAGGTGATAATTCTGTATTTGCCATATATATATAAAATACAAATCTTCAGTGGTCTGAGTGGCTTAAAGAAAAAAGGAGAGGGAAGGAGGGGG